CACCTTATTTTCAAGTCCACTGATTGAAAACTTTAATCCATTTGCAACCTTCACTTCCTCTGATACTATGCCAGGTAACATAACATATTCACAAGTTTTGGGAACTCAACCACTAATGTTGTTGGTATAGTTTTACGTGGGTTGTATATCTTCAAACAATGGAAACACTATAAAAATTTGGAGAAAAGATAAATGCTTTGGGGAAAGGGTAAGAGAAAAGTTGATAGAGATGGCAACATTGAACTGAATCTTGAAAACAGAGGAAAAAGGATTCCCAAGGGAGCTATCTAAGCAAACACTCTCTGTGACTACTACAGAGCTGGGCGGGCGATTGTGTTACTGAAGGAGCAGAAGATTCAGAACCTAAGGGCAGAGTCTACACAGGATGTCGGAAACCAGATTATCAGGATTGGGCTTCATTTAACAGTGTGAATAGACCTGGAGGATTTCTTAGAGAGACCAGTGTGATGAAATTGATGTGGCTGCGAGGTAGAGGGCAGCCAAGAAAGGGAGAACTAAAATATAGAAAAATCTCTTGGGTCATTACTCCACGTGGCAGGACCCAAAGTTATTTTAGCCATAAAAGTCACAGGACTTCACAATTTTCTTAATACAGAAAGTAAAATAATAGAAACTGCGAAGCACAAGGTGAATTGAATTTTAAGGAGTTGCTGACACTGACAGAGACAAGAAGACAAAGGGGTTCGACTCAGCTTTGCAACGTCTGAATGTGAAATATGAGCCACATGCATACGAGGGAAAGGAACAACTGCATTTTTAATTGTCACTTTATGGGCCAAACTAAGGTAGGCAGGGATTTGGAAGGCAAAGGTGCAGCCTAAAACCCAGCAACTTCCCACCCTGCCAGTGGCACTGTGAGGTGGTCCGGCATTTCTGGAGAGTACTTCTGCAGCATGAGTTAAGATCTCTGACCTTTTTGCAAGGTTCATGAAGTACTAATTCCATATCACAACTTATACTAGCTGAAAAGTTGTAAACAACCTAAATAACTTGTACAAGAATTTGGTTAAAGAATGTGTAATAAGTGTAGCTGATGGATTCCTAATGCAAACAGTTAAAATTCATATTTTAGAATAATTATTAGTATGAACAGATGATCTCTGTAATTTAACTTCCAGAGAAGGAGGCTATATACCTATAGATACAGAGAGGAGTGGCTCTCACTTGGGGTATTGTTTATAATGACACGAAGAAGTGCCAAGACCTACTCAGATATTCCTGTGTGCAGTGTATCAGGCATGTTTTATGAATACTTACTTCTCAAACAATCAGCTCATGAGATATGCAGACTAATACTGAAGAAACAGACTTGAAGTTGACCTATCTTGCTCAAGATTGTAGTAATAAAATGGAGTGGGTTTAAACTTAGCAAGGGTGATGTTGGACTCAATCACTGTGCTGCATTTCCATTCAGTATTTTATATTGTCATTCTGCCTCAATGTGAGAAATAGATGCAGTTACTGTGGAAATTGGGAATAAACCAAGGGCAATTTTTTTGTTATACTGCAGTCCAGTTGTCCAAACCTAGATAAGCTCCTGGGAATATCCTACATGTGTTAGAGCGTGTCATAGAGGAAACACATAAATACTAAAATCTTGGACTTGATGAAATAAAAATGTGAATAGACGTTGTCTTAGAGCCATGCAGTTTTGGGAAATTTTAATGTTTCTTTTGCATACCTGAGTTTTCTACATTTTCTAGCAGTGTTTTCTAATGTCTTAGTATATATTGCTTTTTAAATTAGAAAATTTGTTATAAATGAATAAAAGGGCAATTTTAGGAGGAACATCTACAGAATAAGATTTACCAATGTAATGGGAGTTATTTATGAAGCCTAAAATGTAATAGTTATAATACTTCAATTTAACACCTTCTCTAAACATCAGTTTAAATTCCAGGGCCACCGACAGGTGGTTGAGGTAAACTATCCATGCAATAGGGAGACAAACACTGAAGAGTAGAACAAATCTGGAAAAATTTTGTCCAGTTTGAGAATCTGAAAAATATTCACAAATTAGAGCTCTTGTAGTCAATTGGAGGGGACTGGGGGCCTGGGAATCCTATCCTGCATGTAATGGGGCTCTTTTGAACCCTTAGCTAAAAGGGATTACTGGACTTTCAAAGTTTTACAAAGGAGATTCTCACATTATCCACCTAAATCTTATTTTAACTTGGACTATCTTCAGAATTGTCTCGCTATGCCAGTTCACCCTTGCATAGTAGTTTAGGCCCTTTTACAAGAAGATTCACTCTGAATAAATGGAAAAGAACTGGGTATTTCTGTTAGACACTATTAGATGGCTGTTGAGGCTAAAACATCCCTAGTTACTTACTCTTTTCAAGGCTTACCTTTGCAGGTGACATAAATCTAAAGTGGCTGGTATTCTAAAGTGGCTAACCCTGTTTGTGGTGTGCCTCCCATGTGATAGTCTGCCAAAGCCTTAATGCTTTTTGCAAAAATGAGAAGAAACTCCATGCATTTTAGCTCTAAGTAAAACGTGTTCCACTATCACAAATAATCTGTTAGAAAGATAAATATTCATGCTTAAATTTCCATATCTTGGTTTCCCCTGGACTGGCTCAGAGTGGGTGCTTGATAAATATTAAATTAATAAACGAATATCTCTTTTGAAATTGAAGCATAATTGTCCAATGTTATTATATCAATTCACATTTTTTGCACTTTTTGGTCACTATGTTCTAAAAATAGGTGTTTCTTCAGTTGATTGTTCCTATTGCTTCTCTGGCGAAGCTCTCCTTCATGTATCCTTTTCATGTTCAATGGTTTTACTTCTGGAAAGATTTCAAATACACAAGGGCATTTAATCTTCCAGTGCGGAATACCAGCCACTTTAGATTTATGTCACCTGCAAAGCTTAATGTTGTGCTAACTATTCCATCATGCAGATGGCTGGTGGAAATGTGGAATCCCAATATTCTTAAGTCAAAGTCAAGAAGAAATCCACTAGTGATGTTCCTTTAGTATGCCTTAGGTTGACACCAATCTATTGATTATCCTTCTGTGCACAGTCTCAGTGATAACACAGTGGATTACTTCTGCTATTTATCAAGCATCGTGGTCTCCCAAGGAGCTACAGCTGATGCATTAAAATAGTTTATTGTCATAGAGCATCTTTAGTCTCAGGAGAACAAGACATTTTACACAATGAGTGGGTGGTAAATCACATTTTTGAAAATTGAAATATTTTAAAAATACTCTTTGGTACTGTTTAGAGGAGACATAATAAAATCTATGGTCAAATGAAAAATCTGTAAGAAAAGTTAATAACTATCCCCTAATGTATTTTATTTTTGAGATTGGCTATTCTACAGCAGATTTTTCTCAAAGGAACCCTCCTGTACTCACCCTCTCCCTGCATAAGCTTTATAAAATCTGTAAAAGCTAAGAGATCTGGGAGCTGAATGTGACTTACTCAAGGATTAATGACTCAACCTTAGTGCTTCTTTGCTAGTATCCTGGGCTCCCTCTTAGACCTCACAGCTTCCAATGCCTTGAAGAAAAATGGCTCATTCACCCAAATCATCCATAACCAGTGCTAGAGCTTTCCAGTTTCCTTATCGTTTTCATATTGAGCCTTTGTTGAAATAGAGCACAGCTTGAGAGATTGCTGGTGAGCTCAGTTTCAATTCTGTGCACTGCTTCTAGGAAACAGGAACTGATTAGATCTATTTAAGTGAAGTAGGGTAGAAGCATAGTAAATTTTTGGTTTCCCATATAATCCTAGTTTAGATTGATACCCTTGTGCATCATTAAGCTCACAGATAGAAGATTTATAAAACTTCACTCAAAATTTTTCATATACTTTTCTTTACATCCTTAGAAATCCACTGCCCAAACAATCTTAAAAGCAGCTATATTAAGAATATTTCTAGCCTTTGGCTTGTTATTCCTAAATGTCCTAATATACCTTCAAAAAAGTAAACCGTCTTTTAGAAGTTTAAACTTTATTAGTAATTAAAGACATTTAAATATATTTATGAGCCTTTACATTTTAGAGATCACATTGCTGAAAATTTCCAAAATAAAACTCAGTGTTAGCAAAGATGTAAGAAATGAGACACTCTTACACCATGCTGGTGAGAGTTGATACTCTGGACAGCAATCGGCAAAATTCTTGAAATATGCACTTTATTGGATCAACAATTTTGTCTGGAAGACCTTACCTTTAGGAGAAGAATTGGATAAATACATATGGATTTTCATCTCAAGATACATATTATAATCTTGCTTATAATAGCAAATTTATAATGGTGCAATTGCATAGATGTTTTAAAGTCAGTTATCATATACTCATGTAATGGGTTTCTATGAAATAATATAATTGTAATTTGTCACTGTAGAATGATACTAATATTAAGTAATATACTGGTTACAAAACAATATATATTATGTATAGTATTGAATAGAAACTGTACTCATTAGGCATGAATGGGAAAGAAGCCTAGAAAAGTACTCTCCAAAATGAGAACAAAATATGTTTATATTTAAATATTTTTGGATTTTAGGTGTCTCTTTCCTTTTCATATTTTAATATATATATTTTTTGTCAACCAAAGTATGTAGCACAAATGTTAACATTTATGTAACAAAATAATAAAAGTTTATAAAATCTTTATTAAAAAAGTTAATGTTTGTGTCAAGTTGTGTCAACTTGAGAAGTCTAAATGCTTAACTACATAACTCAGCAGTTCTGCATCCTGGGGTGTAGAGAACTTGCCCTTACTACTCTAGGATGTTGTTCATAGTGTCAATTTGAGAAATTTAGAAGTTTAACCAAGTGACTTAGCAGGATGCCAGGGTCTTCCCTTTGTAACCAACCTGAGCTTGTACAAGAGAGGGGCAGGGAGATGGTGTGAGTGCTACACTCACCTAAAAGCAAGTAGCCTGAGTACAATATAAAGAAGAAAACAGGCTCATTCGCTGCCTTTTTCTCTTGTTGTTTCTGTCTTCTGCAGCCTTGAACTGTTGTCCCTCATCATATCACCCTCCCTTGGAGCAAACTGATTATGAGCAGAAACCTCCACAAACTGTGAGCTAAATGAATTTTTCCTTCCTTAATTTTTGGTGTCAGGTATTTTATCTCAGCAATGAGAGAAACATAACTAACACAAAATACAAATGACAAGTTTCTACAATGTTCTTGTAAATACCAATCATTCACTTATTTAGCTATTGAGTTATAGAAAGAACATTTCTTTCTGAAGAGATAAGTTGATGTGTGTGGTTTACGTTTTAGCAGAGAAATATTACCTGTTATATGTGCTGTCTTATAATTACCAAATGCCTTATAAAGGTGGGAAAGATGACATGATTTTCTTATAGTCTGTCCTCTTTTCTTTTTAACTCAGCAAAGGGTTGAGACCAAATTTTTCACTGGAGTAGTGTGCAACATATATGAATAGGAAGAAGATTTGCTTATTAATTGCAATTTTTTGGTATTTAGTCTGTAGGAACTAGTCAATGAACTTTGCAAATATGAATTCCTTAATCTTGCTCCGGGCAAGTAAACGATTGTGATTATTCCCAATTTATAGGTGAAAGAAGAGATGGCTTGTGAATCAGGGTCAAGTAACCTGCACTCAAAAAGCCAATGCATGTGAGTGAGCAGATTTCCTTCAAGTTGGTAACTGTGGTGATGCACATGAGAACAAGACACTGAAATAAACCATGTACCTTACAGTAAGGAAGGGCAAGATACGTGATGACAAGTTGTCATGCTGTAATATGCAAGTGCCAAAGGGCTTTTGGTAAAGTTTAAATGGTGTGGGAAAACACTTCTAATGAGATAAACATAAAAAAAAATTAACTGAGGAACCAATAACACAATACCGAGCAAAACTGGCCAAATAATTAAAATAAGAGAAAACATTAGTAAATAAATCTAATCAAACATTAATAGCACCTACTTCAAGGAAGAATGACATTTTGGATGGTTTTAATATACTTTAACCACTTTCTAAGTCTTCAAAATGAGTAGAATAAGCTAAAGTGTGATAAAAATACAGTGAGTGTTGAAACTTTAAAAATGGGATTGCAGAGAAAGATATATTGACAGTAGTCCCCTCAAAATCCTGCCCTTTGCTTCAAACCTACTTATTTCATCTTCCTTGCCATCTTCTGAAGTCAATCTGGAATCCTCTGTGGTGAGTGTCTTTTGTCACAACCGCATAGATGTCCTGAATCAACTGAAAACATTTTCCTTTTATGGTCATTTTGACTTTGCAGAAGATCTGGAGGCCCACAGTGCCAGGTTCTATGAGACAGATGAGGACTCACGCTGATGTTTTATGAACTTACTCCTCTGCTGGGTGAGGCACTCAGCAGCAGTGTTCACTATATTTTTTATTACACCTCATGAAGATACTCATGCAAGAAGAAACAGAATTGCTTCAGAAAGTGGCAGAAGGATGGGAGAAATGTGTCAGAGGTAGAGGAAGAGAGGAGTACTTTGAGAGGGATTAATGTATCTTTTACTGTAACACATTTTTAAAATTTGAACACAGTATCTTTTGATTTTTTAAAAAATTGATATCCAGCAAAAAAGTAACACACCTCAGGAGAAGTGGCACACCAATTTAGAACTGGGAACATGATGTCATATAAAGTGGTGGCACTATACATGCTACAGGGTCTTAGGGACACTGTCCCTGACCTTTTGGAAGGCCACCAAGTCCTTCCAAAGCACATGGTCATTTCTTTCTTCCAGTGCTCAAATTCTGCTAAACTTTACACTTTGTAAAAGCACAAAAAACTGAGATATAGAAAACAAGAGTGCCATAAATGAAAAAGACCGGAGTAAACAGTGGGCAGCAAAGGATTGTGGGACCCAGGTGGGAACATCTCTGTGATAAAATGGAGCAATCAGCTTTTCTATTAACTATTAATCTGTTTCATTGCTTTCTCTTATCTATCCAAAGCTCTGATTCATGCAACTAAACCACAAGAATGTTTCAGTATAAAGCGTAATGCATTTGACATACTTCTTGTATGGCAGGGGATCTGCTTTTTTCTAGCAAGAAGCATAGCCAATACTAAGAGTGGGTTTTCACCAAAGAAAGCTACTCATTCTGAGACAGGAAAGATAGCTAATGTGGACCGAGAGACAGGCAACTTGCTCTGCTTTCTGCTTTCTTGGGTGCAGAAGGTTGAGAGAATTACATGGGAAATATAGTACAGCTAGAAGACTCACCCCAAACTGTAAGTGTGTATATGTGGACTTGTGTTTAAAATATAATGAATCATCCTTCAGTATCTTCACTAGCTTGGTTGAAGGATCCCTTCTTTTTCCCACAATTGCCAAGCCCTTGCAGAGAATGTCATCGTACTTGTATATACTCCATGAACATCTTTCTATATAATTTAAGTCGTCTTTAGATTACTTACACCACTTAACATGATACAAATGCTGTATAATTAGTATTGGTTATAAAATGATGACAATAAAAACATCCATGCATTTTCAGTACAAAAGCAATGTTTTTCAAACATTTTCAGTCTGTGGTTGATTGACTTTGTAGGCGTGGCTCACAGGTGTGAATTATGACTGTGACATCTGAAATAGTGTGACCAGGGGAAGAACAGAGTTATGCACAATTCTCTAAGAGGGGGAATTCTTTTTCTGCCTCTATGTGGAAAGAAAACTACTCCAGGGCTGTGGCGGAGATCTTTGGACAATACGTATATCTTCTTTTTGAGAGGAATTGGACCAAATTGGTTGAAGAATAGTGTTCACTGACAAATTGTAAACCCACTCTTGAGTCCTCACCTGTAGGTTGCCTTACCTCCCATGTTATGTGGCAACATTAGAGCACATTTCTACTTCTACCTGGCAATTATTTCTTTTTAATCTTGTTGATGCAACTTTAATTTGCCTTTTATCCTCATGATCAGGAGAACTGGATTACTGTTTACAGACAAATTCTTTGTGTTCCCTAAAAGTAAAAGATAATGGACTAAGGGATGGGGTATAGCTCAGCGGCCAGTGTCTGACTGGCAAGCTCAAGGTTCTGGGTTCAATTTCTGTACCAAAGACAAACAAACAAACAAAATGATAAGTGGACTTTTTGGATTGCAGCACTTTCATTGGTTTGTTTTTCCAAGTCACTCTTCTTAAAGCACTAAAATCCACTGACCCCTTGGATTGAGTAGGTACTCTTCAAAGTCTTAGAGGTGTCAGGGAAGGAAGGCTTTAGAGAAGAAAAAAAGGATGTTTCTAGAAATATCTGGAAACAGGATTCTTAAAGGATAGTGGTTTCATGCTGCACCGCCATCTTTTCAATGGGTTCCAGATGCCATTGGGGGGGGGGTCATGAATCACTTCTCTACCTCACTCTTTGGGCCTCCAAATTTTGCATGTTGACATGTTGATAAGATTACCTGTTGGGAGCCGCGGCCGAGCCCGGTCGCCTTACTTGGCGGTTATGCGGCCTGTAGAAAAGAGCAAAGCCTGAGCTAAATTACCCCTCCCATCGAGTGAGCCAAGTTGGCGCCTGCTTCCTGCCCCATGATTGCCCTGGCAACGTAAGCAGCCCGCGCAATAGAATAGTCTGCCTAGCAACAACTGATGTTAGCCAATCAGCCCGCATCGCGCGCTTTGAACTGATTGGCCACTGTTACCCTATAAAAGTGAATGCCTCTCCCGCCACGAGAGAGAAGCACAGAGAGAGATAGAGAAAGTCCACCGGCGAGAAAGGGCTGGTGGTAGAGCGGAGGCCTCGCGGGGCCCACGCGGAGACAAATAAAGACAAGGCTGCACACCGCCAGACTTTGTCGTGTGTCTTTCCTGCCGGCCGGGAGCGATACCGACATCTGGTGGCCCGTACGGGGACTGATCAACCCCGAGACACGGCAGTGGTGTGCAACGCTCCAGCGTGGTGCTGCCGGACAGGTGAGTTGGGGATAAGCCTGGGCTCTGGGTGGCGCGCACCTACAGGGCTTTTAGACTCCCCTCAGGCTCACGCGTAGGTGACGGGTTCTCTAAGTCACACGCGGTGAGTAACAGCCCTTAGAGGTTGAGGATGGGTAATTTACCGAGCACGGAAGCGCGGCCCTTGGTAAAGGCCCTTAGGAAGCTTTTAAAAGCTAGAGACCTCAGGGTAGGTCAAAAAACACTGAAACTATTCATAGCAGAGGTAGATAGGGTGGCTCCCTGGTTTTTACCCACAGGGCATTTAAACCTGCCGTCATGGGAGAAGTTAGGCGGGGACCTCGCCTCGGCGGAATTGGGAGGCGATATTTCGCCGGCTATTCGCCCCCTGTGGGAAATGATACATGCGTGCCTTGACTCCTATGCCGAGTTGCGCCGCGAATTGTGTGCGTGCGCCGCTCGAAAAAAGCAGAGAGAGGAAAAAGGACCCCCGAGCGCTCTCTGGCAGGGAGGAGATAGAGAGCCATCCGCTCCGCCCTGGAGCTCTTCTCCAGAAGCGGCTCCCCGCCGAGAGGCCGCTACAGGGAACCCTCCTTTCTCTCAGCCGGCACAGGAAGTGACGCCCCGTTCCACTCTGTCGCGACCGCCGTCCTATGACGTTGCACCGCGGGGCGGACGGTATTTTCATGGGCGGCTACTCTGCCGAGCAGGCTGAAAAAAACGCCGGTCGAGGAAACGGGGGCTGGGGATTTAGCTCAGCGGCATAAGCGCCTGCCTTGTAAGCAGTCAATCGCGAGTTCGATCCCTGGTACCGATAAAAAAAAAAAAAAAAAAAAAAAAAAAAAAGACCAAAAATAAAAAAAATAAAAAAAATAAAAAACAAAAAGGGGGAGTAAGCCAAGGCCTGCCTCCAAAGGCGCGGTTATCTATGGCATGACAATGGATGGGCCCGGATCCGGTGGTTAGCTGGAACCGAGGCGCGGTTTGTGTTTTTCCGCAGGAACCGGGACGAGAACCACTGTGGGTCCCAGAGAGGTTGACGCGACAAGTCCCTCGACTGAAGATCAGGCCTGTTCCACCAGAGGCCAACCGCAGACCCAACAACAAGATGAGCCCTAAAAGAACTGCAGGACAATCCCTTTTTGGGGAGCCTGGAATGGCTTGCTCCCCTATGTTTTACCATTGTTAGGTCCCCTGTGCTCCTTGCTTCTGTTCTTACTTGTAGGACCATTCTTGCTCCGATGGGTTACATCATTTATTAATGGGCGCCTTGTGGCGGCCCGGCGTCAAGTACGCCTGGTTGCCCATGCGGCCCTGGCAGCAGCCCGTGATGGGCACAATGACCCCCAGGCCTACGCATGGCTCGCTCGACTGGCCTACGACCGGGTCTAGATGTGGCGGGTCTTCCGCATTCCTTCCCTATTGACACCACACAGCAGGGTGGGTGAGTCAATGACGGGTAAGAGCATGCCTCCCCAGCACGACTCGACCTAAGCCAGGCCCTACCCCATACTGCACGAAAGCCGCTGGATTACTAGAATCTGCCCAGATCTAGATGCCTCTCCGAGGGGATCACACGGAGGGGCATGAGTGCATGCCTATGTGCATCCAGGTTCCGTCCAGTTCACTCCTGGCCCTGGAAAAAGGACGAGGGTCTCAAGGCCTTGGCGGACCCGGGGGCGGCCGACCAGGGTCCAAGCCAAGGGCCTACGGTGGGCCTCAACACAGGG